TTATTATTATTATTATTATTATTATTATTATTATTATTATTATTATTATTATTATTATTATTATTATTATTATTATTATTATTATTATTATTATTATTATTATTATTATTATTATTATTATTATTATTATTATTATTATTATTATTATTATTATTATTATTATTATTATTATTATTATTATTATTATTATTATTATTATTATTATTATTATTATTATTATTATTAATTATCATTATTAAATTATTATTATTGTTATTATTAAATTATTATTATTGTTGAATTATTATTATTCTCTGTGATGTTTAAAATGTGAGTATGGCCTTTCACCGCAGGTGCGTCATTCAGCAGGTTTCCCGTTATGTTTCGCATTGCTGAACTTGGAACAAATTTTATGAGATTTAATTCCAATCACATGACTTCCAAACAAGTGTACCGTCATTACAAACGATAACTTTTTGTGTTGTATTCTTAACATAATTTACTGATGCAAGATAATTGCTGCTTTATTGGTCTATTTTTTTTTACGTTTGTTTTCCGCTTCCGTTGATATCTACGTTTAACTACTGAACTGTGTCACGTATGAAGTCCACTTGCTATGGAATAGTCGCATCACATACCTAACCATAATCGTAATTTCATAATAATAATTTTAAGTATTCAATTAACTCCAAGTTTTTTCGAAATTCACATCTCACAAATATCCTATATTTTATATCTTACTGCTACTTCGATTTTTGGACTGTATAAGTTAGCAGTGATTAAATAAAAACTAAATTATTTTTCAGAATTTCTTCAGAAAAAGCATAACTCTATGAAGGATGTATTATTAACAAAATTTAAATGATAGAAGGAAAGAGTTGATGGTAATTGAAATGAAAAAAGCACATAAAAAGTCGAAAATTGCATTCTTTGAATTTAATTGTCAACGTACAGGTCAGTCTTCAACGGCCTTAGTCGAAAAGCTATACTTATAAACGAAAAAACGGTAAAGATATGTGACCCGTTACGTGGTTGATATGTCAAACTGGAATTAAAGCAATGACCTCCTGCGCATCTCATGAATTGCTAGTGCGAACATAATGGGCTCGTTGATGATCCGAGGAATTCAAATTTCCCTACTGTTTAACTACTGTTTTAATTGCAGTTCCGAAAGTAAAAAGTAA